GTGATGAACTGATTTTAGAGCTGTCAATGTGTTCGATATCCAGTGGTGTAAGTGAAAGTAGCGGGATTGGTAGTGCAAGTGTCAATACACAACTGCAGAACCGTGACTTCAAAATTATATTCGATGTAAAATCCGGCGGACCTCAATTTACCGTGCACCTCGTAGCTCCTACTATTCAGGTACATATCTCGAATACTTGAATAAAGATCTTGAATGGAGGAATAATACTCGAAGGATCTATGTTACATTTTCGAATAGTGTACACATATTACAAATATTCAAAAATTAGAAATCAATATAAAATAAAAGGAAAGGAGCTCTTCACAGTTTGAAGTTCATGAAAAAAGTATAGACTTGAACTGTTATCTTGGAATGTAATATTAAATGTAACGTAGATCCTCATTCGAGGTCACCATTCAATTATAATCAAACTGGAGATTTTTATGCATTTATAAGAAAATTTCAAAATTCGAAATTGCACTGTGATATTAGTATTAACATTAGAACTACCAAAATGGTCAAATTGACCAGTTCATAATTTTTGTTAAAAATTTCATAGACGTCAATGTATTTTTGAAAATGATTTTTCATAAAATGTCTAAATAATAGCTTGTATATTCCATTGTATTATAAAATTGTTCTATTTTCTTTTTACTTTATTATGTCTAATGGAGTTGAATTTTCTAGTGTTAATATTATAATATTAATATTAACTAATAATATATAAAATAATGATAATTAATAATATACAATATATAATAATATAAAATAATTTTCTATTTAGATTCAATATTTTTAATTACACTTATAAAAATAAAAATTTGCATAAAAATCCGTAGTCTAATTATAACAAAAATTATATGTACTAAATTTTATTATTGTAGACGTAACATCCTTCTTAACTTACAGCTACATATTTACTATTTTCTTTAATCCCTTAGCAACAACTTTTATATGTTATACAGACCATTACTCTCTTTATAGTTAATTACACAAACCTGCACATAATTTGTAAATTCAAATATTTAAATAAAATCAAAGATTTGAACATTTTATAGGCAGTAGTTATTAGTTATTTAAAGAAAGAATTTGGAACATTTTATAAACACTAATTTCATTATTAGTTAACGTATAATATATAAATTACAATAAATATAAATATATCGGGAGAAAAAAATCACGAAATCTATAGATACATTAAAATGCAGAAAATTGAAATGTACTATTTCAACAATAATAATGATAATCAGAATGTTTTATTCGCTTTATTATTTTATTTTAAATTCAACAAATGCATGTCGAGTTCTGCATAAAAGACAACGATGAAGAAAAAACTACTGATTCTAAGAAAAAAAGAAATTGAATTTTTTTACAATCTTACATAGTAGAATTTTATAATATTAGAATTAGAATTTCAAATAAAATTACAAATATAATTTTAAATAGAATTACATATAGAAAAAAAAATTACAGCTTTCTTCATTCTTACAGCAGTCAAATTACAGCTTTCCTTAAATTACAGCAGTCCCCATTCTTGAGGAGTTAACTATGTTTTATACTTTCCATCCATAAGAAAAGGAATGTTAATTAAATGAAGGTGGAAATAAGATTAATAATATTTTATATTTTTAATTTATAAGAAATGGAATATTTTTAATTTAGAGGAAATTCATAAAAAATTTCGATTAATAAACGCAGGAGAAAGCTGCTTGGATAAGCGATATCAGTCACTGTATGGACAACGTTCATTTGAACGATTTACTTCAAGGCTTGTGGTCGGACACTAGTTCTGTCACAATGCCTGAAGCTATCGAAAACGACCCGAAATTATTCAATGACGACGTGGATATCAAGTTCAGTAAGACTTTAAATTCCTGCAAGATCCCGCAAGTTCGATTAGCCACACCTGAACGTCTACTTCAACGTCTGATGGATCTGAGATTCCTCAGTATCGATTATCTCAATACGTTTCTGATAACTTATCGAGTGTTCATCGATAGTGTCACTGTGTTAGAAACCTTGAAGAAAGCGCTTTATGAGGCTGAGCCACCGGATGTTGAGATGCCCATTGGTTCTCTCGTGTAAGTTTTATTATTTATTAATTTATCAATAGAACACGGATTTTTATTAGAACAATTATTGCATGTATGGTAAACGAATCTGTGTTTTGATCAATTTTTCGTAACACAAATATTTAATTTTCAATTGATAGAGGAAGTTCTTCCAGTGATGAATATTTCAGGTTTTCATTAGATAAATAAAAAACTAATATTTTATAATTAAAATTAATATTATATTTTATTATATTATTATATTTAAAATATAATATTAGTTTATATATATATATATTGTATAATATATTATATTATAATATTACATTATACAATATATCATGGTATATTATATAATATATATATATATATATTATATAAAACAAAAATATTGAATTACATTATTATATAATCCAATTTTTCATGACAAAATTTAGTTAATTAATTTTTCATTTTGATATATAATGCAGGCTTGTCGAAGTTTCCTTCGCAAGCCACTTGAGTTTAGCAATTTATAAACCCCATGTTTAGACCGACCGTTATTACATATATTTGACTTAATTTCTTAACTTTGTCAATTTTATGGAAAAATACTTTTCTACAATTTTTTCTCATGCATGTATTAGTGGCGAAGCATTTTATCCATAATTCAGCTTTCCATAATTTACGACTGGAGTCTCAAGAATTATTATTATGTATTCTTATACTTTATCATATTTTATTCAAAAAAAAAGTCGATACGAAGGTATTTTTAATTTTTGTTACAAAAAGCAGATAATGGAACTCTTACAATATCCGGAGAAGAAAGAAACGACAGAATAAAGTAGATATAATGACGCTTTTCCCTATTGTTCGCAAAAAAGGATTACGAGCCATCAGTTCGACGGGCCTGATAAAATGAATTACATTTATATATATATTATATATAATATCTTAATTATTATAT